CCTGATTAGGTCACATGCTGTCAGTTATCAGCAATCATTACTTTTTGCAACAGAAAAACGATGATACGTAGCTCAATTAGCATAACATGCATCTCTTGGGCATGATGAGCTGAAATCCGTCTGATCTTTCGCCTCATCTTTCGTTCACCGTGTGTGACTGTACCATCAACTTGGTTCTTATACTCATCTCTGTTACCGATGTAAACTGAGCTGTATCAATCAATCGAACGCATGCGCTAGATATACACCACCACCAAATGCGATAAATCAAGCAAGGTGCGTTTGAAAACCGAACCGTAAATATATTTCTTGATAAACTTTGGCCAATGGTGCCTGTATTTCATGATCTAGCAGCCGCTTTCAAATAAATCGATCGATATGTGCCATGATGGTGGACAAATAAACCTCTTTATTGAAAAATGTCAGCCAATCCGAAGTCGGATTTGGTTCCCTATCAAGAATGATTGTTGGTAACCTCATACTGAGTATCAGAGAGAACCCTATGATATATATATATATATGTATATATATATCACTCGGGTGCATGTGAGGAAGCTTTAAATAAACCAAACGAACAAAAGGAAAAAATCAAGAACGGTTATTATTATTACCATTTCTATTATTATTATTGATTTGTTTCACCATGCAGATTTCAATTTTTCATTATTTTTATGAGACAAAGGATTTAAGCAGTCAGACCGTACTACGTTCAAGCCACAGACTTCTGTTTTGAGACATATCTATCATAATCTCCAACTGTTAGATGAGGCTGAACCTCCCCCTGAGAATTCTTGCGGTTTGAATTTGAAATGAAGTGGAGTCAACCGCCACCGTAGGAAATTGTCGGCGTTTTCTCGAAGTTCCTGGATGCGTAGCCGTCAGGGCCAGGAAGAGAAAGCGGGAGCCTGGTTTGTACCATTTCGCCTGTTCGCCGAGCTTGGCAATTTGTTTGCAAACGTTTCGTTCCTGTTTATTGAGTTGATTGAAGAGTGCCAAGCCTCGATAAATTCTCTGGCCTGTTTTGGCCGGAACGAAAGGTCAACCCCCTCCCGACCTCACCGCCGCGCACCAATTTAAAGGCGAACCAAGTCGAACAGGGGAGAAACAAATCGCCGGTGGAGAAGACCACATATATAAACGAACGAGTCAAGCAAAACACTGCCACTTCACAAGCACTGATGATGTCACCTCGGCTGGTGACGAAACGTTTGCAAACAAACTGCCAAGCTCGGTGAGCAGGCGAAATGAAATTCAGAGCCACGAGAACCGACTTTCAATAATTTTTCAACAGCCGATTTTGTGTAATCGCTTCATCAGGCACCTTCGTAACCCGGATTACGGACAAAAGGCTAAACTGATGATCAGTCCCATATATACCGAACGGTTCTGCCTTTTTCAATCCACTGACACTGAAGGTTTGCAATTTCCTTTCAACTGGGATCCTTGAGATGCCCATCGTTGTAACAGTTTCGGTGATAGCCTAGACTATAGATACAGCACTAACAGACGTCAATACGCATCCATTGGGCCCCGACCTGGAACGTGTGTTGCAACAACAGGCTAAATTTTCCAATTAGGTCATAGTGTGACCGTCGCGATACTTGTTCCATCCTTGCCCAATATGTGCGGACAGACTATGGACACGTATAGGCAAAACACAACCGAGCCATGGCAGATAATGTGTGTTAGCAGTTAGCATGTGATGGAGAACCTCATCGTTGCCCGCTTGCTGCTACCGGCACAAGAAAAAATACTTCAAAACCATCGATGGTAGAATCCAGAAAGTTGATTTGCAACCCAAGCACGGAAACGGCGATCGTAACCAAAATTTAGAACATGGCAGATGGTGGAGAGAAATCCAGTAGCACTGCGGTACCATAGGTATCGCAGGTTGGAAAACATCCTAGCTTTTGTAATTCGTGATGTGATCTCTTCCCCCAACCCCGCCTCTAGCAGCGATCAATCGCCTGATGCTCTTAGAGATCTCAACTTCTTCTAGCTGGTCACCACGAAAGATGAGGGAAAGCACAGTCTCTTGCCGGTCTTGCACAAGAATTTCGTATTTGGATGGTGAGACAATAACCATTTTTGGACAACTGCATAATCAAGTGATTCGAAGCATGTTGGACTGCGTACATTTTTTTATTCGGAGAAACGGTCAGCAGCAGATTCCAAATCATGAACTCGGTTCCCCGAGAAGTTGAACTTCTCAGTTTGTTTGTTCGAACAAAGCATCTGGCGGAACATCTTCTATGATAAAGTTGAAAAGGAATGCGGACATAGGACAGATTTGGGGCACTCTACTTGAGATGACACTAGTGACGAAGCTAACCGCAGGCCGCAATCCGACCTGAGGGTCGATACGTATTTCTCAGGTAACCCATTCCTCAAAATTTATATATTGAAGTTCTATCGGGGGAATCGAAAGTAACAAGGAGACTTGGGAACACAATTATCGTTGATCTTTAGAAAAGTGGCAATGGTTCGAGAGGATCAGTTGGTTGAGACACCCACGATCGGTGCTAAACTCAGTCAGTCCCTCACATACACTCTACAATATTAAAAGAATAATCAACGTGCAGTTTTGACACCACCAGTATTAGGCCCCTGTGGTTGGTGTACTTACTGAATGAGACCAATAATCGACGCCTTCTATCCACAGGCAGTGGACCAGCTCAAGAATCATAAACTTAGAGAAAAAACCTGCAGTTTCCTAACTATCCTTATTCTGCCACTTTCGAATAGAGCTGAAGCAAGCCCATCGGAGCCGAGCACATTGTGACTTGCCATGGCTTAGATCTACTAGTGGATTTCTGCTTCTGGTGGGTCTTCCCCACAACNCCCCACAACTGTGGTGGAAGAAAACGCCGGTGGTCAACTAACTGTGCCCTAAAGCTCTCCACTTCGCTTGCAAGATAACGTTTATGAACGCCAATATGCAAACCCTCAAATTAATAGATCGTTGTAACTAGAATTGATCTTTTCCTAATGTGTAGCCGGATGAAAAGAACCGAAACGGTTTACGAGAAATTCCCATGACCGCAGTGCAATCCATTTCTGGAGCATGCTGGAACCACAAGAAGTGGGGGCGCCAATCGGATTATGGATTCTTCAATGTGCGAATCTCGGATACAACACACGCCCCCGATTAGGGTGTCAACCGGACGAGATAAACAGGCCTGCGGTCCTATATACACCGGGCTCAGATTGTATATGTAACTATCTTCCGTAGGTATAGAGGACGAAGAATGACTTCATCTGGTGGACGATTCGAAATTGGAAATCTAGTCGAAGCAAGACGCGAAAGAACAGGAGTACAATTTCCATCAGAGACCCTACCTCCAGTACAGTCAACTGGATTTTCTGATGGATGGAACGGCGACAAGATCCATCTAGGATATGCGTATGGCTTATACTTGTTAATTATGACAGATCCTTCCCAATAACTTGAACTCGTGGGTCGAAGACATTCTGTGACTGTGTGCGCCGTTGTACTATTCGGTCGCCCAGTCCAAAGTGGGCCTGGTTCCAGGATGCACTACATTCTGCACACACAAGTGAGAACTACCAGGCGGTTACAGTCAGTTGCATACTTAACTCGACCGTTCTGAAGAACCTTTTCGGGTAAATGGAACTCCAGGTAGAGCGATGGCCATACACAATGGAAGAGACCACCTTCGGCCATTCACAGATATGTAATGTTTTGTACGGAGAACCATTGCCAAGTGTTAAACTGGCCACATCTCGAAGCACTGCGGCCGATCGCTTATTCATTTAGCCTAACCCTGTCCCCCTCCCCCGTTACTCATCACCCGCCGCCAATTATCAGCCCTCCTCCGTCTGCGAATTAGAGGAAAGCCCCGAAAACAAACACAGCGATTTTCCTAGGATAAGTGATGTATGCCAACGAAACTTCTTTGCAGGAGAGTGAGCATAACTGAGCTTTAAGGATAACGTCTATCGACGTTTTTCACTCTAAACATTTTCTAAGGGTATTCGAAAATGATTAGATCATTTCGCAGAATAGCCCGTCCAAAGGTAGAACTGAAATCTCAGACTCAAATCAACTGAAATCAGAGGACAGAATTATACGGAAAGACGTGATTTCGCTCAAACTTAATGCCGCCTGAGGGGAGAAGACGGGGAACAGAGATAATAACCAGGAATAAAACTAACTCCATGCTTACTCAAATACATGCTATTATCATATATTACTTCAATAAGAGAGAAAAATAATGGCATACCGTGTGAAAGTGGACTATACAACTTGAGGTATGTCAAAATTAGCCGTACATGTATGCATATGTGTACGGATGCACGGGGAGGGGGGAAAGCAGAGCAGTGAACGATAATTGGAAAAAGGCGGACTGAATAAGCACAGCACAGTAAAAGAAGAAAGACAAAATTGATATCGAAAAAAATCATCTGTGGAAAAAGCTAGGAGGTGGGGACACATAATGGTGGGAATCCAAAATAGGGGGCCGGGGGGGGGGGAAACAACAACCTGTGAGCTGAAAGATGCGGAATGTTCAAATTTAAGAGACGCGTTTTAGTTTAAACACAACAGTGTTCCAGACGCGTGCACGCGTACACACACAAAATGATTCAACGAAGCTGTTTGTCAGGTATGATCCTTGGTGGGTGTTTTGGCCTTGTGTGTAAGTGAGAGAGAGAGAGAGGGAGCGCGCATACGCTGATTCGAACTGGATGTGTTTGGTCAGTTACAGACGAACGATAAGTGCACTGTAAAATTATGGACCACGTTTCAACAGTTGTAGGATAAACTAATGGACTAGCTAGTGGCAGACTGACAAGCGAGTGCACAAACACTGAGAATGATGTTCTCAGACGGATAGAATACTGGTTCGTCAGGGTATTCACAGAATCCCCGAATCAGATGCAAGTGGTAGCACAGGTTGGGGCAGTCACCCGGTTGTTGTACTGGTTCCAATTCGACACGATATGATGCCGATAGGTGCATTGTGGAGTGCGGGGAAGGATCACATTCGTGGATAGCCAAGCAACCGTTCAGCAACACCCAAATAGTAGACCATTTGTGCAATACCAAACAGCGGAGCCATGACGAGAACACGACAACCGGCACCTTTGAACAGAGCGGGTACACCCTCACCGCGGAGAGTTTGACTGAAATGAGCACAAGGCGGGTCGGGGGGGTGTTGGATAGTACAGATGAACCGGTGTGACTAAATGATCGAGTCTTCTCAATAAAACATAATGCTGTATAGGTTAGGCAAACGTGAACCGATCAAAACAGACCGCAAGTGGGAGAAGCAACAGGGAAACCAGTAATCAATATACTCAATCAGCTAAACATGACGATAACAGTGTAACGACATTTATCTGGAGTAGTAATGGTGTGATTCTTTTACAAAAATAAATCGACAGTCAATGAGAAATAACGACAAAAATCATGTGGAATAAGCGCTAGTTGCACGTAAAAGCACGAACGTCACCAGTCAGAAACCTCACCAGGGATAATTCAATTCAGGATTGTTACCTCTTCTGTCTATGCTACGTAAATTTGGCGTTACACAAAAACACCGACCTAGGGCATTTAACAATGTGCGGTGGCAAAGTGAGATGGACAGTTACAGAACAAACTGCTGAGGATTGCGGTGATAAATCAACTAAGCCCCTGTGATAAGATACGTGTTACATCGGTTTCAAGTTCAGCTTTTACAACCCTCAGTTCAGTGGAGTTCGACAAGGTTGAGATAGTGGTATCCAGGTATGGTATGTGCTTTACACCATCAAAGTGCAAAGTGCTGGTTCAAGACTGGCACTTACTATTTCTGGCGATTTGATAGAAATGGTCGAGAGCTTTAAGTACCTCGGGAGCTTAGTTGCGGCTGGAGGCTAGAGCAGCTTTCGCCAACCTGCAACACCTGTAGCGCCGCCATAACATCCGACTGTCCCTCAAGAGGTGTACATCACGGCGGTTCGTAGTGTTCTATTTTACGGCTGCGAGATCTGGCCTCTCTGAGCGGAGGATGTCACTCGACTTTCCGTATTCGACCACCGATACCTTAGAAACATTGCTCGTGCCTGGTGGGAACATCGAGTGAGCAATGACGAAATTCGTCGTCGTGTGTTGGGTAATGATAGTTGTTCTCTAACGGAAGAAATCGTTCCACACCACCTCCAGTGGTTCGGTCATGTTTTGCGTATGCCTGCCCATCGTCTACCTCTCCGAGCTCTCTTTGCACGTACCGGGCAAAGTTGGAAGAAGCGAAGTGCCGGTCACACCATGGCGTAGAGGTATGAAGAAGCCAGCCTCAGCATTGGCTTCGGTTGGTACAACTCGCCTTCTAAACTGGGGCCGAAGGGATGAGGCTTGCCGATGGTTAGAGACACTGAGAGATATGGCTCAGAATAGATTTCAGTGGCGCGATTGCTGTGCGGTTTGTTTGTCGAAACCCCGTTACCCACAATAGACAAAAACACTTCAAAAAAATTTACAGTGAAAATATCAAAAAATCATTTATTCATTCATTCACTTGTTCTCCCAGTTCTCTGTTTTCCCCCATTTCCTTCTATACCCCGTCATAACTTAATTATCATTGTTTTGCACTGACCTATTCTCAAGCCGGTGTGAAATATATACATCATCAACATGACTGTCATCAATAGTCACAAAGGTTGTTTTCTAGCCCGTGCGCAAAACATGAATGCATTCAGCCAGGTTTCTTCAAATTCATGTTTGACAGATTGCGGAAGACAACTGTTTCGTGTTTGAATTGTGAAAAGATCCGTAGCCCCGGTGGGATACGAATCCTCAAGTGAAGGCTGACTGCAATTTTTAATATTCCACGCTCTGTGCACCAGCGGCTGTGTGCTCTCAAAATGGGAGCTGTTCACAAAAAACGACACGCGGTTTTTTATTACACATACTTTGAGACATGAACCGCATGCGCAATAAAGCCCGACCTGCTGGTCATTCATGGGATGCCAGTCTCCAAAAGCCTCAATATGGTCGAGGGTGGATGTTTAGGGTTGCGGCTGATAACCCTTCTCTTGCACCTCGCCAAATGCTTCCATACGGCCAAGCGTCTCGAATAGCCTCTGCTGACGAAGCCCTACTCACTGCCTTCTCGTGGCGGAGGTGATTTCCCACCAAAGTGGCAGGTCGAAAAGCTAACATCCGGGGCTTTAACCGGGTTGGTGGACCACTGGTAGCTCACCTAGGGGAGTTGGCCAAAAACCCTGATTCCAAACCATCCATGAGGAGGCGTACGAACCACGCACACAACTTCCTGATTGTGGCAGTGGTCACCGGCTCGTTTAGGTATCGAGGTGTATTGGGCATCTTGAACGTTTGGTCCCGTCAAAAGGGCGTATGATCCGATGAACTGGACACCGGGTCCCAATGGACTGCGGTTTTGTCAGATCGCCCCGCTGCCTTGCGGGTCAGGATTTGGTTAGCCAAAAGCTCCAATTGTGGATTCCTCAAGAAAATTCCCCTGCCTCGATCTGGGCAACCTGGCTGTATTCCGCCCACATGCAAATCACGGCAAGTTTCTCTTTTTACATAATGCTTATTGTATCATGATTTGTTTGGCACAGTCTGGAATCAGACGTGTGTTTTATATATATAGCAACCTAAGCCACATAATCTCCCTCTCTGTTAGATGTAGCAGTGAACCGGACAACGGTAAAGCTGCTTACAGGTTGGCACAATCCGCTACAATTTGGGGAATTTAGTACCATAAGAAAAAATACACATCGTCTCGCCTTATTCAGCGGCACGAATGAAAAAGCAGATATACAAGATGATAATTTTCCTCAGACAATCTGTCGTCCTGATAAGCACGAGATGCAAAAACTTCGAAAATTGAACTAAATCACAAAGCGAAAGAAATTCACAAAACGACCCAGTCTTTTGGTTGTATAAAGGGATATGATGTTCCGATGTGAGTGCCAATACCATCGGCGTGTTTTGGGCCGGTTAGAATTTCACCACTGTCACCTAACTTTGGTGATAGACAGCTTTGCTGCAGTATCACGCCTATCCTATGAGGTTTTGTGGTTCGCCACTCCAAATCCCGGGGCATAGATTACCGGTTTCCGTAAAGGAGCAGCAGGTTTTCGCGACTATTGGGGTTCACTCTGTTTGATGTTCATCAAACAGAAATGTGTAATGTTTTTAAAAACAACAAGCGATGGCCTCTCAATAACTGGCGGATCAGGAGAAAGGAGTACCAAAAAAGGACCAAAGCTACAACAACGACAAAGTGATGAAGAGGTGAGCGAATGAAAACAGACAGTTCTCACAACCGTTACAAACGAGATAGCAGAAACTTACATGAAACAATCGACGATCCCGTTGAACACCTTATCACCCTGTGCTTGTCTGAGTGTTTGAATGCGCGTTTTCACCACTGCACAGTGTCACACATGAAAGATGGAACATGGAGGGGGGAGTGGGTTAGAGATAAACCCCGACGCACAATGTTTCATATTGCTTCAGATACGGTAACAAGTTGCACAAGATAGAATTTGCTAATGATGTGAATTTGATTTCACTGAAATTGGAGCGCGACCCAGAGGAGTTCATGGGTAAAGTAAGTAGTAAAATAGGGAAATATTCTAATTATTTGTTTTTTTTTTATTTACTCTGTATCTATTGTGAAACTTCACCAAAACTAAGTTGGAGTATACGATGAGAAAAGAAGTGATAAAACGAGTAATGTTGAGGAACTAATCGTAGAAAATGCATCTCGGATTTGGCGTTGAAAGAGAATTTTAAAATTCGGAGTTTCGTTGCAAGGGTCTCATTTATTTTCTTTTTCAATGAATCTATCATCCTAAGTGTCAAAAATCTGTGTATGATAGCTAGTAAAGGGCAGTTATTTCTCCCTTGTCGCAATGCGTAGTGGTTTATTTTGGAGATCAGTGAATCGTTTAATGTGCTCAGAGGTCAATCTTAATGTGATCCACAGAATCCTTCGTGTGAGTGGTTTTAACGAAATCGGATGGTAAAGTCACCCCAGAACTGCGCAGTAAAAACACTCGGTAACTCCTCTTTATACGCCTGAGTGACTGATGCTCTGGACTACAGTACAAACCCAAGTAGATTAAGAATGGATCTAACTGAAATTTAACCAGAACCTGCATACAATATTGACTGAGCATTACAAAGCCTAGTTATCCAAGGACAAAACTGATTGGATGTGCGTAATTACGGAGGTGCAGAACCATCACAAACTGTGACGGACTCGGACTATTGGCCACATTTTTGATTTTGCATCACGCTACACGATCCATGCATAGAACACACCAGCTAGCAGTGCATACACAGAACAATTTGATTCACAAAGAAACCATTTTTGACAACACCGATTGGTGTAGCTAACCAACCGGCAATAAAGAATCGTTCTGAGCGCATCCCGGAAGACGAAAGATACATTCACTGTCTGAGCTATGAAAGCATATCCTAAAAGCCTCATCTTCATGTGACCCGTGGCTTCCTCTCCGCTGTGGAGCGATTGTAACCGAAGCGAGGTATGATGGATGACTTTTAAGCAAACACGACAGGCGTCCTACTCGGTGAAAGTAATGCAGGTTATAACAATGGATGATTTCCCGAAACATTCCCAAACACGCGAAGCCTGTCTTTAACTTATTCCTTACATCCACTTGCACAGAGCTCAGTGAACACAGACAGTAAACCGATTGGTAAATGCAAATTCAATGCCACGTAAGCATCAATACTAATATATTGCGTATACCCAGCGGTCTACCGCACAGTACCTTATTCGTTGCAGCCGCTCCGGGTTGGTGTCAACCAGGAAGCCTAAGGCGACCTACATAGCGGAGTCTCCTAGTTAGGGTTTTCATACCCTTATGCTAGGTCTTATTTTGACCGTCCTTGACCTTTTTCCACTTACTTACTGCCTCGGAAAACATCGTTCGCCATGGCAACCTATCTGGTGACTTGCGTAACACATGCCCCAACCAGCGTAATTTATGGAGGTCAACTACCAGCTCCAGTGGACGACTGCGGCTACCTAAAACTCTACGTCTAATCTCAGCATTGCTTGTCCAGTTACCCCACCAGACTCGTGCAATGCGACGTAGACAATAATGTTCGAATACCGACAATCTATTTTATCCTGTTCCCGTA